CAGTACACCTCACCATCTTCAGAAGTGTGGCTCTGTGGAATGCCTCCAAAGCAGCAGCCGGTCCTTCCTTTGGCTGAATTTGCCACCCCTTATTTCTTTAAACAATATCTCACTCTCCTTGATATGGTTTGTCTATGTCCCTACCCAAATCTCATCTTGAATTGTAGTTTCCATAATCCCCAAGGGAAGGACCTGGTGGGAGGTAATTGAATCATGGGGGTAGTTCTCGTGATAAGTGAGTTCTCACAAGATCTGATGGTTTTATAAGGAGGTTTTCCCCCTTTTGCTCGGCACTTCATGTTGCTGCCTCCATGTGAAGAAGGACGTATTTGCTTCCCCTTCTGCCATGATTGTAAGTCTCCTGAGGCCTCCCCAGCCATGCTGACCTGTGAGTCAATTAACCTCTCTCCTTTATAAACTGCTCAGTCTGTTATGTCTTTATTAGCAGTGTGAGAACGGGCTCATACACTCCAAGTGTCTCTGAAAGACTCAGGCCCAGAGAGTCACTGTCCCTCCCCAAGGACTCTGCATTGAGTGCCTTGTCCCCGGTATCTTTACCTATGAGGGAAATGAAATACCTTTGATGGAGACTGGGCTGGGGCTCTGAAGGGCACCAGGGTTTGGGCTGCAAGGGTCCTGCTTCCAGGAGTCCCTGTTTGTTTCTCATTTTTGAGTCAGAAAAAGGTCCCTGGGAATCTGTGCATAGGCTCTACCTTCTCGGGTTTTTCCGTCTCTGAAGACATGACTGCCCATGAGAAGTATTTAAAAGAATGAACATTAAGTATTAACTCGTTTAGCTCTCAGATGAGATAAGGTGATGTAATCATAATGGCTCTTAATTTCAGAATGTAAGCATAAAGCCATATGTTTAACATACACACAAACAGTATATGTATACACACATACTTAAATGATGTATGCGTATGTGTGTGTACTTAGTAAGCAGTGAATAAACACGAGCTAAATGATGAAGCTAGTCCTAACCTGTTTTTGAAGAATTGGCAATTACAGAGAGGATGATATAATTTTAAAAAATTTAATGGAGACACAGCTATATAGATATCAATCTTTTGAGGTTTTTTTTAGAAATGGAAAGTGTTGGTTGCATAACTCCTTTCATCTGTAATGTGTCTTAGCAATTTAATTTTTGGCTTGCAGCTGGTTTGGAAAAGTTGTAGTTGTCATGGTTGTATACTTTAATGTGCTTCCTTCTAGTGATAAGTGGGGTTAGGGAAAGTGTTTTGCATGCAGTAGATGCTTAATAAGTATTTGTTGATAAAATAAATGAGTAATATTGGAATAGAGATCAGCACGCAGTAGGTCACGATGGTTTTATTATTTCATTCACTCATTCACTTATTTACTTCACACAAAAAAACTGATCTCCTACCATACACCAGGCATGACTCTAGACACTGGAGGTACATCAGTGAATGAGACAAAATTTTCACCTTTAAGGATTACATTTTTTTTTTTGAGATGGAGTTTCGCTCTTGTTACCCAGGCTGAGTGCAATGGTGCGATCTCACTGCAACCTCCGCCTCCTGGTTTCAAGCAATTCTCCTGCCTCAGCCTCCCGAGTAGCTGGGACTACAGGCACACGCCACCATGCCCAGCTAATTTTTGTATTTTTAGTAGAGACGGGGTTTCACCATGTTGACCAGGATGGCCTTGATCTCTTGACCTCGTGATACACACACCTTTGCCTCCCAAAGTGCTGGGATTATAGGCGTGAGCCACCGTGCCCAGCCAAGGATTACATTTTAAAAGGGGGAGCAGGACATAAATCAACAGGAAGATATTCAGAAATGGTAAGCTATGAGGGGACATAAGCCCAGTGAGATTTGAACCAGGGAGGAAAGGCCACTGGGCTGGAGCTGGAGCTGTTGAGTTACAGCCTAGGCCAGAAGCACAGTGCTGAAGCCTGAAGAGGGCAGAAAAAAAATATCTCAACCACTTGCTTCTACCCTCTGACCTCTTTCTGATGCCTCCTATTGGATGAATAAAATGTGTGGCCAAAGAGCCTGAGTCTGGATGATGTAGGCCCTAGGGGAGAGTTTCTCAGAGCACAGAGCAGGGCAGAGAAAGACAGAATATGATCAGGGGCATGAGGCTGGGAAATAAAAGGAGAATAACTTGAATCTTTCATGGAGTCAATCCAAAAATGTTTACCGCTTCTAAGCTCCTTGGGGGCAAGCACTGAGTTGGATTTACCTCTCTCCCCCACAAGACCTAGGGAGCACAGGGCTTGGTAAAAAGTAAGTGCTTGTTAATTTAGCTGCACTTTGTAGGATCGGCTCTGCTTGACTAAATGAATGTGCTTCTGGCATCAGAGTCACCTGAAGATTCTAGTTCTGTATTGACCCTAGGGAAATGCAGTATCTTGTTCACAATGGTATTCCAGCAGCATGCTTGGTATGTGATTATGTCTATTGAACATTTGTTAAACAGCAAACAATTCTTTTGGCATACAGAACTTTCTTTGCTACTCATATGCAGAATTGTAATGAAATAAAGCATTTTTCAGTTTGGAATTCTGCAATAAATGGAAAGGTTTCATTAAAATTATGGAGTAAAACTTGAGAGACAGATTACCACTATTTAGCTTCCTTCCCCCTCCTTCTTTCAGGAATCTCTTCTGATAATGGGGATGAAAAACAGATGCATGCATGTGTGTTCTCTTTTAGACTCTCCATGTGGTTATATTCTCCCCAAATTGTCACGTATTGCGAAGCTGCTAGTATGGTTAGAGTAGCAGGAATTAAGTCACTGATGTGCAATTTTCACTCAACAGTCTTTTAGAAGAGGTGAGATCAAGAAGAATTAAGATTTCGGAAACAGAAGAACAAGGAAACCCAGGGAGGGAAGGGTGAGGAGGGTAATTCTTTTTTTTTTTTGAGACGGAGTTTCGCTCTTGTTACCCAGGCTGGAGTGCAATGGCGTGATCTCGGCTCACCGCAACCTCCGCCTCCTGGGTTCAAGCAATTCTCCTGCCTCAGCCTCCTGAGTAGCTGGGATTACAGGCACGTGCCACCATGCCCAGCTAATTTTTTGTATTTTTAGTAGAGACGGGGTTTCACCATGTTGACCAGGATGGTCTCGATCTCTTGACCTCGTGATCCACCCACCTCGGCCTCCCAAAGTGCTGGGATTACAGGTGTGAGCCACCGCGCCCGGCCCGGAGGGTAATTCTTAATGTTAAATGGGTTTATTTGATATTTGGTGGGAACCAGATTTGTACAAACACTCAAGGCTTGCAGAATACATTTAATACATGCTCTTGACCTGTAAGGGCACTGAATTGAGAACAGGCTACAAGAGTTGTCTGGGCTTGTTCTTCAGAAGGAAAAAGGCAAGGTGTAATAGGGGAGCTGAGTACATGTCTTATGACCCAGGAAAGGAGAGCATTGCTGTGGTGTGATCAGAGCCACAGCAGTGTGGCTGAGGAGAGGCAGTCAAGTAAACCACACTTAACCTATGACTTCTGAATAGTCAGGGCTAAGCTAGACCAGAGCTGGGCTTTTCTTTGAGTTTACAAAGCAAGTCTCTACTGATATTTTATACCTTTTTCTTTCACTAGTCTTCAAGCTGTTGAAACATTTTTTCAATTACTTGTCATTTGCTGTTGTTTTGTCCAGGTGAATCATCATGAAAACTAAGTAGAGAAAAAAACAAACACCCCAAACATCGAGAAAGAATATTTCAAAACTGTCCATATTTAGTCATTGACTAAGCTCTTCTTGAATACAGCTTTACTGAGAGTGATGAGGTTACAAAATAACACTACATACATTTTAGTTTGTTGCTCCTTATATAGTACCAGAATGTTTTAAGCAAACAAAGAAACCTTTTTTTCCAAAATTTGCTGAATAAATAAAAAGTTTTTAAAGACTATCCAAGAGAAGTAATTTATTTCAAATTCCCTGAGAGGGCAAATTAAATGGTCTTTACCCAATGAATTGGGCTGGAGGGTAAATCTTTATTATTTTAGAGAGTTTAGTTCTCAAAATTAGCAATAGAGAGAGGACTCTTTGGAAAATTATTCTGTAGGTTTTATTGACATGAAAAGAAATACTGAAAAGTAATTCCTTTTAATGCTGCTTTTGCTGGAGAACATATTCATCAGTGGCTGGAATAGGGATCTAACTCATTGAGAGATTACATAAATTCATTTGGTTGTAACTAATGGAAAAAATTAATGAGGTAATTTGAGTTTTTTTCATCTAGTAAATTGGATGAATTCTGAAGAGACTTGGCCAGGATAACCAGCAAAAAAATAAAACAAAAAATTGACCTTTTAGCATGTGCATATTTCCTGCTAAACCTCTATTTCCATGCATGTTGTAAAATACACTTACTGTAACTGCTGCTCTACGTTAAATCATACAACCATTCAGTACTCACTTCCTTATGAGTGAGTACTCAATTACACCTCCTCACTCATAACACTCCACTACCATCTAATCATGTTTTAAAATTATATGAATCTGTACCATCACTCACCTTCTATTCAAAACCATTCTTACAACATAGGAAGTAAAAATAAAGTTCATTCAGCACACTGAAAGCAGCCAGTGCATCAGGGATGACAACTTGGCACCAAGAACCTAACTAAAAATGGACAAACTATGTTAAAGTTTGGCTTCCTAGAGACTTTCTCAGCAGGTTTCTGGCCCATTCAGAAAAGGAGAGCTTGAATTTTATTATTTCAGCTGCTGGGTTACATGCTATTTCTCTGATACATTGAACTGATACTTTATTTGATTACAGGACTCAGACATTACAAAAATAACAAGTCCTTTTCTTTAACAAAAAAAAAAAAAAAAAAGGAAGTATATGCTTGGATCCTAAGACTTGGGAGTGTAATTGAATATACGCTTAAAACATACTAAAAGTTTTCTGCTTGGGAAATCTGGAGAAACAAGGTTTCTAGGAGCAACTGCTTCAATAGTTGGTTTAACGAATATGTTTCCCTGACACATGAAAAAGGACACACATTATTTTGATTCTGCATACTTTCATCTATTTCAATTGGCAATGCAAGATGTTCCAGGATATGGAACTTTCACCAACCCTTATGTTGCATACTCCTCACCATTGTATTATGTCAGAGATTCTGACATTCCGAATTCATATTGGTCTTTATTTTCCTAACTGTTGAAGCAGAAGATAGAACAGCAATGCATCCAGGAATCTGGTAAGCTCAAATACGTGGTTTTCTGAGTCTTTAAACACTTCAGAAAATAAATTATAATTTCAAATGATTTGTCCAGCTCTAACATGTCTCCAGTTTCATCCCTAGAAAGCCATTGCCATGTTTTTGCACAACCTATTTTATCAAGCTTTGACAGAAGAAAAACCCTGTAGTCTCAGTATCTCTTCTCAGTATTCCATCATGTAATGTTACAATTGGTTGTTTCTCATTTATTTCAAGCCCTAGGTCCTCCTCTTCATATAATACTTCTAAAACATCCATGAGAACACATCTATTAGTATGCATCAAGGAATTATGTCTATTTGCCCACTTATGATGTGTAACCCACAATAAGACACCTTTTTCTCTAAAAATTAGCCATACACTATATGCTTCTCAGTTGTATGAGTGTGTGTATATACACACATATACATACACCAAGGTAATATACTACATCCACATATAGCAAGGTAAAAGATTCTTTGTGTGGGATAAGGAAACAGCCCAGTGTTTTTACATTAGTAATGCCTTGTTCTTAATTTACAGCATTTGTAGCCCTTACTTGAGTGTTACCATTAAATACTCAGAGATTAAGCTTTTCATAAGGGGCAATGATATAAAATTGTTCCACAAAGGGTACTATATGAACCACTTTTCACAGTTCAAATAAAATATTTTAGAAATAAATATCATAACTCTAGTAATAACCTATCTACACAAGGTGGAGAGGATGAGATTAATGAAAACCAAATGTTATTTCCATATATCTCATGTTCAATTTCTAAATAGCTTGTTTTATTTTTCAAAATCCAATTGCACATAACCCATGATAGGCCACTTCCTCTCCAAAACAGTCAACGAATGAAGTGATAAATTATAAGAAAGGAAAATATATATCATTTACTACAGTCATTCCCTTTCTGCAAAACTTGGCAAACATGTAAGAAAAATGCTATCAAGTGGATACACTTTGGTTTATAAAGCTAATTTTGAGCAGATGAGATTAATAAAAATAGGGCAGAATTAGCATATATTTTTATATATGTGAGATGTGTATTTGATTTTTACTTAAGAAATCAGGAAGATCCATATGAAATGGGAAATGATGGCATTTACTAATAGGAGAACCCATTCATCCAGTTTCTGCCAAATCTACGAATTCCAAATATTTCTTTCATTACTGTCACATAAAAGATGGGGGCAAATCGAATTATTGTTCTTGGTAGTATAAACTTCAGGCTATCTAAGCTTCAGGCTAATGGTCCTTAGGGACATAGTTTTATTTGGTGATCTTCCCAGGGCATACATTAGGGCCAAGGTTGCCTTTCAACAGGTTGGTGCAGCCTTTAGGGAGAGGGTAAGGCTCCCAGGGTACTTGAAATTCTTCTTTAAAAGAGGACAAGGGATAAAATGCAAATCCTTCCAGTTGAAACAACCAAATGACTTAAATTTACACTATAAATTAAATGACTAATATGGATTCCTTCATTGAAAGCAGGATTATGGCAGAAAATACACTGGGGCCTGAGGTTTGGAAGAAGAGGAATGCTGGCTAACACAAAGGTTATTAACTTTACAGTCCCTGGGGGGAATCCTCATTCCTTTTCAGTCAGATTTTGTTTTAAGCTTTATTACGTTGTCATGGGATATCTTTCAAAATCCTCTACTCAATCAAGTATGGGGGGGGGGGAATTGCGTTGAAATACAGAATTAAATCTTAAGTCTTTACGGATATCGATGATTTTCATTTTTAAATAAATCTATACGAATATCTTCAATTTCGTAAAGAAAAAAGGAGAGAGAGAAAAATAAACTTTTGAACATGAAATCACTCACATAAACCTCAAGTGTACTAACGTGTAGAGGAAAAAAATCTCAAATGTGGGTGTAACCGCTATACTTTCAGGAAACATGCCGCCTTGGAAGAGTGCCTGTAACGAATTCCGTCTGCCACCCAGTGGCCACTGAAATAAATTTGTTTTGTTGGCTATGGCCCTGGATTTTGATAAGAAAAAAAAAAAAAAAAAGAAGACACAGAGGTAGATTATGCCATACCAGGAATTTAAAGCCATCAAGACATGTGCCTTGACATATTTTACCATACAATCAGTGTAGTAAATGTTAAATATTTTCCTTTTCGCGAACTCAAAGGTTAACCACGTGGCTCTATAAATAAATAACGTGTTCTTCCGGCGTCCCCGCAGCTACCTGGGCTCAGATACTGACTGGCACGGAAGACACCGAACTGGCCCGGGATTCCCGAGTCACGCTGTTGGGCATCGAGAGGGTGCAGCAGGACACGCCGACGGTGGCCTCGGGTAGCTCGTCGTCCTCCGTCCACTCGTTGAGCTCGGGGCTGAAGCACTGGATGCACTTCTTGTACTTCTTCTCGCCCTCGTTCCAGCCCCCAACCAGGTAGGCGCGGCCGTGCAGCGCCGAGGCTCCCGCCGTGCTCACCCCCACCTGCAGCGGCGCCGCGTAGCTCCACTGGCCGGTCGCGGGGCTGTAGCACTCCACCGTCAGCACGTCCACGCGCTCCCCGCGCGGCCCCACCTGGCTGCCGCCCATCACGTACACTCTGTCGCCCAGCGTGATCGCGCAGTGCCAGCCCCGGGGTGTGCTCAGGCTCGGCAGCTCCTGCCACGAGTCGCTGGCCGGGTCGTAGGCGCACACGGAGCGCGAGTAGGCGTTGGCGATGTAGCCGCCGGTCACCAGCACGCGGCCGTCGGCGACCGCGCCCGCGTGGCAGCAGCGCGCCACCTCCAGGGGCGTCTTGGGCTGCCACTGATTGGTGGAGGGCACGTAGCACTCCAGCGAGGCCAGGCTGCCTTCTGCGTTGCGGCCGCCCGCGGCGTACAGGAGCCCGTTGAACACGCTCAGGCTGAAGTGCGTGCGCTTCTGGTTCATGCTGGCCAGGTGTATCCAGGTGTTGAAGCGGGGATCGTATCTGGAAATGGCAGAGGAGGTGTGACAGCCTTGGCGGCGGCAGCTGGGGAACCCCTGTTACTCTGCAAACCACGAGTGGGAAGCCTGACACTGCTCCTGCAAGGAGGCGAGGGACCTGGCCCAGCTCCTCACCTGGAGGCTGGCGTTTCTCGCTCAGCCAGTAAAAATGTGTGACACTTGGAAAAGGCAAAGCCGGCATTGACTCCCTCTCGCCCCCGCCCCTACTCCGTTTATAAGATCACTCCCTTTATGGGGCCACTTGGAGAAGAGCCCAGAGACTGAACTTTCAGTCCTTCTTTCCCCCATATTCAAATATCTATCATCCAGTGGGATTTACGAGATGCGGCTTTTGTGGCGATCCGAGGTGGGCACCGCCATATTAAAGACAATTCTGCATATCTTCAGATGCCAGCCATTTCTAGCTGCCTCTCACTGTTTAAGATACAAATTGACTGACTGGATTTCTCCACTTCTCACAAACCCCTTATTCCTACACCTATCCTGGCCATTGCGACAGTAAAGCCAAGCCACTCCACCACATCTTCTCTTGTCTGTTAGACTGAGATCAATGGAACTCATGCCTAAAAGCATCAACAAAGGCTTAACTTCCTATACTCTTCTATTTTTCAGCACTTATAAAGAAGACTTTTAAGTTTAGGGATAAATATATATATATTTTTCAGTGCTTGGAACTATCCATGTATAAGCATTGAAATTGATTTCGACTTAAGTACTAACAGGTGTCTTTTCAGCAGGAAGAAAACAAGCATAGTGAACTGATCCTTTCCTGTTGACGTAGTTTAGAAGTATTGTAAATACAGAACTCACTCCTTCAGTCTGATGTTCAGCTTTGTCCCATTTAACTCCCAAATTAAACTTAACTGTACTTACAAATTAAACACTAAAAATTAGTTAATTGGGTTATTTTAAATGCATATACACAATGGAATAATAAAGAATATTTTTCATGAAATACTACACAAATTTTCAGATCTTGCTCATTAGTTATGTTTGACTTTATACTACTACCATGATATAAGTATGACTTTCTGAACATTTCATATAAATGGAAGTTCAATTTTTATCATAAATATATAAAATAATATGGGATTTGAATTCCATTTTTTTGAAGGATGTGTTATGCTTTTACTCTTTCTATATGTGTCAAAAATACACATTTTCTGTTATTCAGTTTTCAATTAAGTATTTAAATTAATTAGCTACCACAATTTTAATGATCTCATTCTATTTGCCAGTTACGAATTTGACAGTTGTCAGTAGCAGTCACTTAAAATAAATTTTTCATTATTTTATTCTTTCTTACTACTTAGTGTTAAAAACTAAATTTGTACTTAATTTCTGTCAAACGTCAGTGTATTGTGAAGAGTACTCAACCAGAAATGAGCAAATGTGAATTGCTGCTTACTGCTTTTATAATTTCTCTGGGTATCAGGTTTCTCATATATAAAATCAGAATAATCATATCTTCCCCACCCACTTCACAGGCTTGTTTCAGAAATCTATAGTGCATAATAATAATAGTGCACTATTAATATAGTGCACTTATAAAGTGCTGAACATACATAAGGTGGCATTTTTATTATTGTTGATTTAGTGAGCCAATGATCTAAGCTAATAAGCATGATTAATTTACTTCTATATTAGAGCTATTTCCCTATAATATTGAACCATTTCAGTTACTAATAAAAGATCAAGTACCTGCAGAAATTGCTGACTGCATGCTTGGCTTGATTTCTTGCGTCATTCTGGTCTTCACCACCGGCTACATAAAGAAATCCATCCATCACAGCCACACACTGATTAAAACTTTTGGATGGCATTTCCGTAAGCTTGCTCCATCCATTTTCAGGGTCTCTATACAAGATGTCTCTGCTAAGGGACTTCTCAGTAAGGCCTGGACGTCCCCCAACAGTGACGAGGACTCGGCAGCCACCTCGGATTCTTGTTCGCCTGGATTGCAATGTGTTCTGATGATATGGAAGCAAGTGGTAGTTCATAGCATCTACGAGAAGTTTGTGACAATCAGCATCTTGCATCATTCTTGGTACAGATTGGACATAATTGACCAGGTCTTGTGCGGAGATGGTACCAAAGCGAATATTGCTCAAAAGATCTGCAGCATATTTTACTCTCTTTTGGTCAAATTCTAGCCATTTCATTGCAATCTGGAATGCTACTATCTCAGAAGGCAACTGTAAGTCATCATCTATAAGAAGTTCATTAATTTGTTCAAATGTAAGTTTCATAAACTGATCTGATTCTGCAAATTCAAGGAAGTTATCCCGAATAAATTTCTGTGCTGCTGCTTTTGCATTTTTCAGGGAGTATGTTTCAGCAATATTAACTACATACATGCAATTCTCAACACTCATCTCCCGTATCAGAAAATCACTGCACATCTTTACAAGAGTGTGGATCTGAAGGTAAACAGCAGCAGAAATAATGCTTCCTATTGTATACAAGGAGAGAGTGAGCTTTCCAGTGTAGGCATATGCGATGACAGTGGCCAGGCCTAGCGGTGAGATATCATTGAGATCCACCCTCTGAGTTGACGGGTCTTTTTTTAGGATGTTGTAAAAGTACTCACTGCATGAAGCCATCACTGACTTATGAACATCAAAGGATTTGGTTTTGGTAGCAATGACTAAGTCACATAGGAAGTTCTCCTGTCGCATTTTACTTAAACCTTCCAATAGGTTGGGGCCATAACACGCATCTGTTAGTTCAGAAGAAATGCAGCTAAGGCCATTGCCTCCCTCTAGTAGCCCATTCAAAGCATTCAGTTTGTTTAGGGGGCTATCTTCTAGGATTATAGTCATCTCATTGATATCGCCTTTGTTCTTTTTGACAATCTTCTTTTTGGGTGCCATGTTGGCAAATACACTGTCACAGGCAAGAGCTTGCTAAAAAAAGAAAAAAAATGGCATGGTTTTAATTATGCTTTAGATTTTGAAATACTACACTAAGAAACTTTTCTTTTTCATAATAGTTTATATGGCATAAAATAGATTAATTTTCAAAAATAGATTTAAAGACATATTAAAGTAGATGCACATTTTACAGTTAACTTCAGCATGAAGCATTGCAGACAATTCTAGAAAGATTGATGTTATCAAATGAGACCTCTCCATCACTGTATTGCCAAGTAATTATACAGAAAAAGTGACCACACTTTCTTTTTCTTTTTTTTTTTTTTTTTTGAGACAGAGCCTCACTCTGTTGCCCAGGCTGGAATGCAGAGGCATGATCTTGGCTCACTGCAACTTCTGCCTCCTGGGCTCAAGTGATTCTCCTGCCTCAGTCTCCCGAGTAGCTGGGACTATAGGCGTGTACCACCATGCCCAGCTAATTTTTGTATTTTTAATAGAGATGGGGTTTCACCATGTTGGCCAGGCTGGTCTTGAACTCGTGGCCTCAAGTGATCTTTTTGCCTTGGCCTCCCAAAGTGTTGGGATTACAGATGTGAGCTGCTGCACCCAGCCAACATTTTCTGATTGAGCTATATAGTAGGGTAGTAGTAAAATATAATTTAAAGGGCTTAGTTTACTCTCATGAAAAAGTGAATTATAAACACTCTGAAGGTTTTCCTCAGGAAAATATTAAAATTCAGGAATCCATGTGAAATGTAGAAAATATTATGGAAAGATGATTTTATTTGCTGTAGCAATAAAACCTGTTATATTTTAAGAGATATACATACTTGACTCGAATTTAGTGAGACATGTATGATAAATACTATAAGATTTTGCCAGAGAATTTAACAGAGAGGGACTCTACATTCCTATATGAAGAGATGGATGTCAATTCAGTGAAATTTTAGTTGCTACCTCTATATGATATTTTTTCTTTCTGGAACTTGATAAAATGATTTCAGAGTTTAACTGAGGGAGCGGGTATAAAAGAATATCTAGGAATTTTGTTTGAAAATAAAGAAATTCTCTCCAGACGTAAAAAATTACAGGAACTAAAAATTTTGGATCGGAATTAAAAAAAAATTCGGTGGAATAAGACAAGAGGTAGAGAACTATAAATTCAGCAGAACAAAATAAAGGGTAGAAATCCATATATGTATATGCGTGTATGTGTGTGTGGATATATACAGTATATATGTGTGTGCATATTTACATATTTATATAATGTATGTGTGTGTGTGAGTATATTAGGATAAATATGGCACTTAAAAATCAATGAGCAAGAACTTGTAATGATAGCATTAGGTCAATTGATTTCCTACTGTATATATTCACTAAAAAGTCTTCCAGATGAATTAAATATCTAAGTAACTTACACACATACACAAACTTATATAAGACCAGAACAAGCTAGGGCTCTTGTTTTTGTTTTATATCGTAGGGAAGGGAAAGCCTTTCTCAGCTGACACAAAATCCAGAAGCCAGAAAAGACTGAAATATTAGAATATAGAAAAAATAAAAACCACGAAACAATAGCAACTCTTTAAAAGGTAAGTATTTTTAACCTTTTTTTTTTTTTTTTGAGACAGGGTCTCATTCTATCACCCAGGCTAGAGCGCAATGGTGTGATTTTGGCTCACTGCAGCCTCGACTTCCAGGACTCAAACAATCCTCCCACCTCAGCGTCCTGAATAGCTGGGGCACAGGTGCATGCCACTATGTCTTCCTACTTTTTTTTTGTAGTTTTAGAAGAGAATAGGTTTCACCATGTTGCCCAGGCTGGTCTGAAACTCCTGGGCTCAAGCAATCCACCTGCCTCCCAAAGTCCTATTATTACAGACATGAGCCAACTCACCCAGCCTAATCTGATGATTTCTTTGGTGCAAATACACTCTTCATGGCTGATTTCAAGCTATCAACTGCTTAACAATCAGCTTGCCAAATTTCTGAAAATTAGACAATCAGCTCTTGTGAGCCAGTGCAAGCCAGCTCCAACATAACACAACAGAAAACATCTATTAAACCAGGCTTATGCTAATTATTCAACAATTTGCTCTTTTCAATTATTCAACAATTTGCTCTTTACTGCTAAGTAACTCATGTACATCTTTCCACAGAACTACGTGTATAAATCTACCTCATTCTTTCTAATCGGTACATACTATCACATAGTAAGGGTATATCATACATTGTTCAACTTTTATCCTATTGATAAGCATTTAGGTATTTAGGTGTTTTACAATATTTGTCTTTGTTGTGTGTGTGTGTGTGTGTGTGTGTGTGTGTGTTTTAAATCCCACTGTAATTTCATCCTGATGGGGTAAAACTCAGCTTTGGCTCTCCTTGAAAGGTTTTCGATTTGATGGCTGGTGTATATGTTTAAGTAATTGTATAGCCCTTCTATTGTGTTTGCTCCTGCTCCTATCCATGCAGAAGAAGAGTTGCATGCAGGCAGAAAATAGAGACGGCTTATTTCTTTTCCAGGGCTTTTGTTTTCTTCTTTAAGCTCCAACTGTCATATTCACATTTATGTTTTTTTTACAAGACAGTAGCACAGAGATCCTTCTTCATTCTTTTTTGCAAACAATGCAAAATGCATCCTTACCTTGTGAAAATAGATTATGAACCCACTATCATTTTAATGCTCAAATGCATGAACTTATGTGTTGAGTGTCTCCTTGTTGGATTTTCTGGGAGAAACTTTTGGATATTTGTCCAGGAAGCAGTTATCAGATATCCACCTCAGTGTGGACAGTACAGTGCTGGGAATGATGGAGCAGTACAAGATGTAACTTACATTAGAAAGACGAGACATGGCAAATGCAAAACGTTAATAAGAAGCTAGGTAAGCACAGCACAGTAAATTTTGGGAGAAAAGTCCTGTCTGTGTTTCTGGAACAACTCTTTGGCCAATTTTTTTATTCATATAAATACGGGGCTTGTAAATGCTCACTGTTTTAGATGAAATCCTAAGGCTGAAGAGTAATCTGAGTGCCTCAGACTGAAACACTAAATATTCTGTTTATCCATCATTAAGACATTGTTTCAGAAGTAGCATGTAAGGGCAATTTTTAAAATATTAATTACTGATGAAACAGGACACCTACTAAATAAAATGGATTCAGGCCACAGTGCCGGGGCTGGGTCCCAGAGGACACCCCTGGGTTACACTGTGCAATTCTTCAGTTACTAGATCATAGTGAGACCCAGGAGAGAATGGAAGGATGGGAGGGACTCAGAGAAGCTCAGGGCAGTAGCTGTTTGGCTATTTCAATTTGTTTGATATACACATAATATTTACAGATGAATGTTAGTATTTTAGCACACTCTCCGATTCAAATGGAATTAAATTAGAAATTAATAACAATAAGCTATCTAGAAAAACCACTTAGTTTTCTATATTTGAAAATTAAACAATTTCCCTTTGAATAATCCACAAGTCAAGGAAGAACTCACAGGAGAAAGAGAAATTTGGTAATATTTCAAATGGAACGACAATGAAAATAAAACATAAATATCAGTTTTACTACTTACCTGCAGTGTGACTTTTGGTAGATTACCTAGCCTTTTGCAATCTCCATTGACTTATTTCCTAAGAGAAAATTATAACAGTGCCTGCCTCTAGGATTGTCAATGAAAGCCTAATGAAGAAATGTCTATAACAGTATTTTGCAGAGTACCTGACAAAAAGTGAGTTTTCAAAAAAATTTGAACCATTTTCATGACAAGCAACAGCCTCTGTTAGTTTTCTTTGGGAATAAAGAAAGGAGCCTGTTTAAGCTTTCGAGTGAAGTGAATCCGAGAAAGCCACCACATAGTAGACAAGCAGTCATGAGGTACAGGAGGCAATATGGGACAGTCACAGTGACTCAGAACAGTAACAAGGGCAAACAGTAACCAAGGGAAGATTTCTGGAACATATAAATATTTCTATGAGATTCTTTAAAACACCAGGGAGAGAAAAGGAATACATGCAAATGCACAGGCTGAGAAAGAGATGATTTTCATTTTGATAGGTAGGGGTAACCCCAAAAGTTCCAAAAACTTGGGGCATTTGGTTATAGATTAGGTAAGCAAAACAACAGAGTACATGGAACAGATTGAATCTGTGTGTCTGGATTTAAGGATTCAAATAAAAAAGACTATTGTGGTGGGGTAGTGTTAGAATGGGAGGTTTTACAGATGACATGAATACTATTGGGTCCTGGTAGCTGAAGAGTTTTAAAGAGAAGCATGTATAGGAGGGAGAAGGTTATTAGAAGTAGAGGAAGTGTTTCAGACTGAAGCAGGGAGGTATGATCAGCCTGTCATGGGGTATTCATAGATGGCTGAGGTCATGAGGGAGACCGTTGGGCAGGTAACGTTAGGTCAATGCATACAGGATATTAAGTGCCAGGAAGACTTTGAACTTGATAAATTCATATGCGATCTAGAAGGACTAAGAAATCTCCAGGAAAAGAGAGGGCAACTTGAGGCTAGACAAAATAGTGGTATCAGTAAAAACTCTCTCTCCACTTTCTTTCTCTTACTTCCTATTGATGGCTTCTTTTTCCTCCCTTGCCTGACCTTCATGCTGCTACTGGTGTCCCCACTGCTAACCCAGCCCTGGCCTGTTCCACTCATGAAAACTTCCATGCCCTCCTTTTTCTTTATGTTCTCTTGCCTTATCCTATTTCTCTATGACCTCCCTGGATGATACATTAGCTAGTCTGACAAAAATGAATCCAGGCTAACCGGTTAATGTGCAGATCTATTCTTTTTCCCAGATATAGACGGTTTTTGTTTTGTACTTAGGCATCCTTCTAGACTCACATGCAAATTTCTATCAGAGTAGATTTTGTGGAATATATATATGCACACGCATGCACGCATGCACACACACACACACACACACACACACACACACACACTGACTTGCTGAATATACCACGTGCATTTCAGAAGAATTTGTATTCTGCAATTGTTGGGTGTAATGTTCTATAAATATCAATTAAGTCAGGCAATTGATAATGTCCAGGTAATCTATAACGTTATTGATAATGTATAGATAGTTAGATACATACACATATGTATTTATATATTTTTTTTTAATTAAGGCTTTTAGGGGCGGTGAAATCACTTTTTAGTGATAACTGGCTTATTTAGCTCTCTCTGAGGCGGGGAGAAGGAGAGGAACAGGCAGGAGACCATTTAAGAAACCTGAAATCAGGCTGAGTGCCGTGGCTCACTCCTGTAATCCCAGAACTTTGGGAGCCTGAGGTGGGTGGATCACACGAGGCCAGGAGTTCAACACCAGCTTGACCAACATGGCAAAACCCTGTCTCTACCAAAAATATAAAAATTAGCTGGGTGTGGTGGCGTGCACCTGTAATCCCAGCTACTCAGGAGGCTGAGGCAGGAGACTCACTTGGACTCGGGAGACAGAGGTTGCAGTGGGCTGATATTATACCACTGCACTCCAGCCTGGGAAACAGAATGAGACTCTGTCAAAAAAAAAAAAAA